CGCGGCTAACGCACTGTGATCCGAACAGCGCGGAGTCGGGTCAAACGAAAAACAAAACTAACAAACAAAAAACAAAAAGCTCTCTAAGTTATATGGGCCGCCTTTGCGCAGGGGCCGCGTTAACCTTCTCTGTACCGTCCCAAAGTTTGGGGATATCCCGTAGGATCTTTACTGCGGCAGGCACCCCCGCGACGCTTCCAAGGGCCGCCCGTCCTTTTCTTGGCCCTTTTTGCATGCGCCTGTCCCCTTTTGCGTCTGGGTTCATTCCCAGACTTTACCAATGCCGGCCTGGCGCGATGGCCAAGCTAATCCTCTCCGTATCGTTCCAATTTTTATAGATGCCCCGAAGGACACAACCGAGGTAATGCCCCGCGGTTATACCAAAAGCCTTCCGCCCTTTCTACCTCCCTTTGCTCCGCAATCACTGCCCACGTCCTCCCCTCAAACTCCTAGGAACTCGGAGGGAGCTAACTACTAACGAGTCAGCTAAACATTTCGCCCCGCATACCCCAAGCCGATGGCTAATTCGTACGTCGGCTGCACCTAACACGAGTTTCCTCACAGATCCACTTTGGTCCTCTCTCTGTAGGGCCAGGCGAACCCTTCCTGTATCATTCCGATTTTTTGCTAGATGCCCCGGCGGACCTGGCCTGGCAATAGCGGCCGTGACCCTTCAACGCTCGAGCGGCCTCAGTGCCACCCTGCCTCATCAGAGCTCCGCGGGGATCTGGCCCTCCCCCGAGGCCTGGTTCGGAAGCGCTGGGCCAGCCTTAACAGCCGGCGCCCCGACCCTCCCTCTTTCTTGATCCATACGTATCATCCTTGCGCAAGGGCCATGCTAGTCTTATCTGTATCACTCCAACTTTAACGGATGTCCCGAAGGACAGATGTCTAAAAATATGGGGCCAACCACCCCTAGGCAAGCCAACTATTGGGTCCTACTCGTCCCGCTCCTTTATCCAGGCCGGAACACGGGCCTGTGTTCAAGCAGCATCAGCGTGGTCTCGCTCCCAGATACGGGCGTAGTAACAATGACCGAAACTCTTAAAATAAATAAAAATTATATGCATATGGATGTTACAGAGCCGCAACGGAACCCGCGGCCCCCATGGTAGCAAAAGGCAAGGGGGATAGTCCTACCGGCCCATCAACCCCTCAAGCCTTATCGCCACACTCCTCCGCTCCCTTGTTGCACGCCGTTGGCCTCGATCCCTGCGTCTGCTGCGTACTAGTCCGGTACTGTAACCTATAGGGCTAAGCCCAAGCCTGGCATCAGGAGGCCTGACTTGCCTTATAGAGAGGTAGCGCACGACCCTTGGGGCCAAGGAAACGCCCTATACCACTTCCCGGCCCACACTTACACGAGGGACCACCCAAAACTCACGTTGGCCTACCGGCCTCGCCGCGACTACCCGTCCTTAGCCAAATCCATCAGGTCCCATCACCTGGATTTTCGCGTAAGTCCATATTGGCTCAGTGAACCTTCCATCGCACCCCGCGGAACTAAAAAAACAAGGTACTCATGGCTAATCAGTTTAATCAAAACAAAAGTAAAATATGCTGACCAAAAATCCATGCCACGTCTGCCAGTGTAACCAAAAGAAGGAAAAATTACGCGCACCTCAACTCGCTCGCCCACACACTCTTTACTCTAGTCAACCACCTAGTCAACATAAATTACAGATGCGGCCGTGCCTGGCACGACATACTTAACCTTAAACCAAACTGTTTTCTATCGTTTGCAAAGATCAGGGCGGATACCCTTGTAAGGGTATTCGCACCGACAGCTTACTGGATCATATTAAGCGACGTCCCCGTCGCTTCGCAGGATAAAAAACTATCAATTCAACCACAATCCCAAAATGCTGATGAGCAGGGTACCGATCCGATTAACCGACAGACCTAGGGTTGAGGTCTCAAATAATCCATGCCAAACACAACTTTATGCTGCCAGGATTCTAACCTGGGTCTGCGTCGCCCTGACACTCGGACGTCGAGATACTCCTCATTTTACTACAGCATAAACTCCATTGAATCTCTCACCGTCCTCTCTCCTGTGCCCTAGACAACCGTCGGCTTCTCGTTGTGTGCCCCTAGCCCTTCCCTTGAAACCAAGTCGTGGCTAGGGGCGAGGGCCCTAACCGAGATCTTCGAAGGCATTCTCTCGCCTTCCTCTAAAAAATCTTCACATTAACACACGTAGCCGTACCACATAGACTCTCACATAAGTTTTCCTGCAGTCTAGTACAGGAAGACCAGGTCTCCATCTTGGTCCACAATAGTCTGGGTGATCATTCCAGATCTACGGCCCACCCCATTGTTATTTTCAGCAGTAGTGCCTTCGCAGGTTGCGCCACGATAGGCTGTTCCTGATAAGCATTCAAACAGGACTTCCTCAAAAGACTCATATGACTCGACGCTTACCCCACGCCTCTCCGCAGGGGTGAAGTCCTCCTAGGCGTTCACGCCCCTTTAAGTCTTTACTCCCTTGGCCAGACGCAGGCCCTCTGCTCAGGTTGTGCCAAGCAGCGGCCAACACTAAGGGTTGCACCTTAGTGATGTTAGTTATACCCCTAGCTGGGTCTCTTATAAATGTCAAAGATTAGCACAAGCGATCGGACGGTGTGTCGCAACAATACAGGCCTACTGCGGGACTACGTGTAGGCCTGTCGCACATAAAGGTATTTACTAGTCCCTCTGTGGGACAACACAGAGGAAACACGACAACCTCTCCACAATTTCAAAACAAAATCACCGCCTGGTTCACAAGGCCATGGCCTCCCAGCTTGATCAGAGCAAGAAAATCACGCATCTTGATGACATCTCTTAAAACACATCATTGCGACATCCAAGAATTTCACCAGTAGTCAAGCAAAAAACTTGGTCCCTCTCGTCAGTCTTTTATTAGTCAAAGTCAACCATCCATTTATCAATCTATTTAACCACCTTACTTATAGAGGAGGTCTTACTTTTAATAGGTCTCTCAGTCATCCCTCTCTCACTAGGATGAACTCTCTCGCGACCTTTTCTTTAACGCATCTTCCCTCTCTGAAGGTGCGTCTTCCAAATAGATGATGGACACCCTTTCCATTCACAAGTGCCTCACTCATTATATGATCTATACAAAAAGACCAACTTTTGGGTCTTCTGCACAACTCAATCAATAGAACACTTATCATTCGAATACTCAGGATCCCCATATTCTTTCACAAAACAGGCGCTTCCTTGCCTTATACTCGACCCTCTCATCCGCCCAAAGGCGGGTCGCACGAGTTTACCGGCGAGTAGACAGTTCACACTCATCCAGATTCACAAAGTACAAGATACATCAAGCATTTTCTCGCGCATATTTCACACCAAGCCATCATCCATCAAATCAGGGCCACACAAGTGAGTGTGAGAGTGATCGTCATATACAACAAGTAGTCCCCAAAAAGGTCTCGATATAATGTACAATCAGGGATAAAATATCCCACATGAAATGCCTCCCACATGCACTCAGGGGCAGAACGCCCCATACACAAATGTCCCCAGATCGTAACCCACTCAACTCACTCAAAACCACACTCACACTGATGTCGTCCTCAAAGTACAAGTTGGGTCTGTATCTCGGAGATCAGGGCGTAGGCCACCTAAGTATGTACAAGCCTCCTCTACCATGTCCCGGTCCTCAAGATGGCAGACTCAACAAAAACCCGACCCATACTGCCTGACAACAGCAAACAACACCCAGGTCTACAGAATGTCATCCAATCCTAACTCTAGTCCTACACGCAACATGTCAACTATATAGGTAACTCAGTCCCAATCGCTCATCTCCTCCTGGTTTTGTCTATATAGTTGAACCCTACCCCCATCTGCAAATCTCTCTACTCTCTTGCCCTGTCTATCATACATCCTGCCTCCTTCCTCTGTAACCTTCCCTTCAGCCTTGTCCTTCAGGAACTTAGGACACTGCAAGGCTCGATGCCCCTCCTTTGTACAGAAGAAGCAGGACGTATCGAACCACTTCCTGGACCTCTTCTTTCCTCTCTGAGACCCTAGCGATGATGGCGCTTCGCTGACCTCCCTGCTCAGCTCATGTCTCTGAGGCATATCCAAGGGCTCCTCTCATGTCTCCACCTCCTGGGTACTCGGTCTAGGTCGGTCTTCAATCCCGTCCGGCCCGTACTCAGGTGTGCCCAACCTCTGGAGCCCGCCCTCAATGACACCCTCAGCCTCAATCCCTATCTCTCTCTCGAGAGGCTCCTCTATCCTCTGCTCAGGCAAAAACAAACTCACCTCCTCCTACATCGAGTGCACTGCCTCAATGAGCACGTCCATAGATCCCTCTGCCGAGCCCTGAGCTGGCTCACTGCTGGATGGTGGTAGCCCCTCCTCAACTGCCAAAGGTATGACTGGGCCCGCCGCTGCTATAGGTAGCGTCGCGAGCTCTGTAGGGGCTCTGAACTCGAAGGCCTCTCTCTCTGCCTCCCTCTGGGCTCTCGCCTCCTCTGGCTCCATGATAATTCTCCCCATAGGTGGCTCTTGGCGAGTCTCTACTGCAGATGGCTGTCCTGGCAAACCATGTCCTGGCTGCCTCTGCTCTCCCTGTCGGCTGCTCTCTGGCTTGTCCGCCCCCCCTGAGATCGCTGCCTCAGATTCTCGATGATAGCTGCCTGGCTGGCCACCAATGCCCTGAGTTCCTAGATTTCCACCTCCATAGCCTCCAGGCGTACTCCATGGCCAGCTTCCTTTATCTTCTTCCCTGCCAAATCGCTCTCCAACAACAAGTGCCGGTCAAAAGTTGTCTTCGCAAGGAACTTGATCTTGCGATCCAACCTTTCTTCTGCCTTCCTTGCCACCCCAAACCCCGCTCTGGTTCGTGAAGGAAGCTTCTCTCCTCTCCACTCCCAGAAGTCCCTCCACATCTCAGGGATCTCTGGGGCCTTAGCTGGCTCGCTGGGTAGTTGACCCGGGAGCGCCTCTGCTCCCTCCAATCTCTGCCTCTCCTGCTGCTGCTCCGGAAGTTTCCAAGCCGCTTCCAACCTCTGCCTCTCTTACCATATTTCTTTTATCCTCCTGGTCCTTCTCGCCCTTTTTTCCTCAGCTGTCTCTCCAGCTGGCGCCCTTTCCCTCGTGCGGAGGTCGACCCTCTTCGGGATCTCTGCCTCCACCTCCTCCTCGGGCTGGCGCGGCTCCTGGCGCGACTCTGCAGGTGCTGGCTCCTCTAGGTCTGGGTGCTCTAGGGCATGAGCGGCTAAGTGCCTATCAATCAGGGTCAAGGCTTCTTTCCTTACAGCTGCCCTCTCTCTCCTCCTTTCTGCCCTGCTCTCTAGCGAAGGAGCCTTTCCTGATGAAGGCAATGGGGCCTCTTTTCTCTGCAACTCCTCTCCTGTCTGGCGCGTGCTCCCAGGTGCATCTCCTAGTCTCAAGCCCGCTGCTGGCGTCTGAGGGGGCGTGTCCTCTCCAACCTCTATCACTTCCTTCCCTACACGTCTTCCCCCATCGCCTAGCCCTCTCTCTCGCTGAGTATCCCGGACCTCCTCTCGTGGCATCTCCTCATGTGGCGCCTCCTCTCGTGGCACCTCCTCATGTGGCATCTCCTCATGTGGCGCCTCCTCTCGAGGCACCTCCTCTACCGGTCCTCCACGCTCCTCGCCTCGAGGCGACGCTCTCCACCGAGAGATATCCAAATGCGCCTCCAACTCCCTCAAAGGCCCCTAAGATGCTGGCAGCTCCTCCTATATGCGTGCTGGCGACCTCCTCAATCCTCCCGCGGTAAATCGGTGGAACTCCACTGGTCCCAACCCACTTTTGGGTACACCCCTCGCTCCTCAGCCTCTGGCTCCGGCTCTGGCCCCTCCTCTCTCCTGGCTAGGGCCTTCCGTCCTCCTCGAGACGGTCTCGCTTCCCTCGGCTCAGGGTCCCTCTGCCTCTGACTCCTCTGACGCCTCTCAACTCTGGGCTGATGAGGCTCTGGCCGTCGAAAGGCCTCTCTCAGATGTGCCCTACAGCTCTCCCAGTCCCGAGCCATGTCTCTGACCTGCTTAGCCAGTGCCCTCTCCGCCTTTCTGGTCCAGAGGAGTAATGTCCTCGCCCACTTATCTCTTGGTATACCCTGCCCCTGCATGAACCACTCAAAAGCAGGGATAAAGTTTGCCGCATTTCCGATCTCTAGGCGGATCGGCCTGCCATTTGGTCCCACGGGCGAAGGTCGCAGCTCCTGCATCCTCATCTCCACATCCTACCTCGCCGTCGCCTCCCTACGAATCCTAGTAATGGGTTCCTCGAACCTGCCTGCTCCCCTCAGTCTCTCAATCGCCTGGGCCACGGTCCAGCCCATACGCCTCGCATGATCCCAAAAGCTGTCCAGGAATAGCTCGATGTCCCCATCATCGTACACCGGAGTACTCTCTCGATGGCGAGGCCCATGCCGGTCATATCCTCCTGATGCTCCCAACGGCCTCCGAGGCGGCCGTATCCCCCTCCCTCCTCTTGGCATGGCTGTCTTCGTAAAGTCAGACCTCTTCTCTCACCACAAATTTCTTCAATCGCGTTCCAGATACCCTATCCTTCCACTCAGTCTCATTCAACTCCTCAATCTGGTACGCTCCGAAGTCTCCAACCCGTACGATCCGGTAGGGACCTAACCACCTCTTATCGACTTTCCTAGACCACTGTTTTTCCAGCGATGAATCGTAGAGAAGCACAACGTCCCCAACTGCCAGAGGTACTTTCCTCACCCGAGCAGACTGATCCCATCGAGTCTTATCATCGATACGGCTTCTAGCCACTTGGTCGGACGCCCCCTGGATCCTTTCCTCTATCGCTCCTATCTGTCGCGCCCGAATATCGAGCAATTCCTCAAAGGACAGGTCGACTTCCAGATCCTGACGCCTCCAAGTTTTAAGAAAACTCTCGATAGGGAAGGTGGCATGTCTTCCATACCAAAGCGTCGCAGGTGCGTACTTGGTGGATCTTTTCACTGTAATGTTCTCGACGAAGAAAGCCGCCCTCAGGTACCTTGGCCATTGATTAGGCCTGCCTTCGGTCCACTTAGCCAGGAGACTCGTAATGGTACTATGCCCTCTTTCCACCGGAGCGTTCGCCTGGGGGTGCGCGGCCGTGGTGTAGTTAGCTACTACACCATACCTTGATAACAACTCCTGCACCTCCTGGCAAGTAAACTCTGATCCCCTGTCCATTATGAACTCTCTGACGAAAGGATAATGCAGGTAGTACTCTTCGATGCAGCTAACCAAGACTGAACCAGTCTTGGTACGAATGACACGACCATCTACGAAGCCAGACAGGTTATCGCGCGCATCGAAGATGTAGTTATAGCCCTGATCCCCAAGCGGCAAGCCTTGGATGCAGTGACTCTCCTTGCCTCAAGCGAGATCTCTTCTGGCAGGGTACACAGGATCGACAGAAATTTTCGACTATGTCCATCATCCCATCCCAGTAGTACAGCTCACTTATCTTGGCATACGTGGCTTGTACCCCTCGATGCCCTCCTGCAATGCCATCGTGAAGTGCTGCTATGACGTCGATCTGACGATTCCTACCGCAGACGACTCTCCTAGGATTCCCCACTTCTCTTCTTATAAAAAGGTGGCCGTCACGCACTAAGTAGCGCTGTAGCATCCTCTGAGCCCTATCGCTCGCATCCCTTAGTCGCATCTCGCAAGACAAGAGAAGCCCCAGCTCTAGGTAGATCCCATCATACTCTTCTGCGCGAAAGGCCTCCTTAATCTCCCCCTCCTCGAACTCGTCATCATGGCTCTCGGGCATTTCGTCCACATTCCCTGCCGGGTTCAACGAGCCTGACTGGTCGAGGCTTTCCTGCAATAACGTGTTGACGAGGAGATACATTCCTCCCATCAAGTCCTCATGCCGTTCTATCTGGCCTGGCCCTTCCTCGATCGTCCTCATGTCCTCCACCAGGCTATGCGAGCTGGCCAGCGCTAACTCCATCATCCACTGAACATCCTTACTACCTCAGGGATCCTCTTCTTCAAAGGGTTTGAGGACTAGCTCAACCCTCCATTCGTACCCACTTGGCGCTTGCCAAATCGGATAACCCACACAGCTAGGCACTCGCGGCGACCACTTGTTGATATGGAGACGGACATCTTCTTCCTGGTCCAAAAATCCATCAACTGGGGGCATATTCTCCACCGCCTCCCCTTCCTGTTTATCGCAGTTGATCCGACTCAGCCCGTCTGCCCGGTTCTTACTGCTAGGAATCCGCTCCAACTCGAAGTTAAACATCCAGATGTACGTCAGCCATCTGACAACCGTCGGATCCGATGAAACGTAATTCCTCAGAGAGTAGGCCAGGGCGGTCGGGTCCACTCTCAAAATAAATCTCCTGCCGAAGATGTAGTTCCGGAAGATCCGTAGACAGTGGAGGACAGCAAGGGTCTCCCTTTTGAACTGAGAGTAGTTCCTCTCTGTCGTACAGAGAGTCCGACTCTCAAAACGCAAGGGTCTTTCCTTTCCCTCAATGTCTGTCTGAATTAGAACTGCCCCTAAGGCAGTCGGCCCCGCATCTGTTTTGACAATGACGGGTCGCATCTCCGTGGCATCATAGTCTGGCGCTCCTAACACCAACCCTCCTTCTCGAAATTCTTCCTTCATTCTGGCCACCACCTCTTCTTGCTCTTCACCCCAAACCCATTCTTGATCTTGACGGACTAACTTCCTTAGGTGCTCAGTCTTAGCGGCAAAATTCTTGACGAAGGCCCTCCAAAACCCACACGTACCAAGAAAGCTCCTGACATCAGTTATTGAGTGGAACGGAACGGGCCACTCAGTAATCTTGTCTGTCTTCTTCATATCCGGCCTTCGGCCTTTCTCGCTGCAGACGAACCCCAAGATAGTTGCTTCCCTCATGTAGTGTCTGGATTTGGCCCCGCTCGCCGTGAGGTTATGCTCCTCGAGCAGGCTCAGGATCTTTTCGAGGTCCTGGACGTGCTTCCAAACAAAGCGCCTTACCCTTGGCGAGACTTCGTCGCTCTCCTTCACTGCCGGCCCCTTCACAGCCAAATCGTCGATGTATGGCTGTGTGATATGGGGGCTGACTGACTGCATAGCCCGAATTATGGCCCGTTGGACCATTGCTACCGCGTTGGTCCACCCTTGTGGGGCCACGTTCATGTGGATTAGTCCTCGCGGTGTATGCATAGCCGTCACCGGCCTGTCCGGCGGGTAGACCGGAAACTGATCATATCCTGAGTAAAGGTCTATAATTGAGATTATAGGTCTTCCAGCACAGGATTCTGACAGAGCGTCCGCATTTGGCAGTCCTCTTGCATCCCGCACGGTCACCGCATTCAGCCTCTGCAAATCTTGCACCCACCGCAGCGTCCCATTAGGCTTGATGAAGCAGAACCACGGGGATGCATAAGGTCCACTCGAATAGTCGGCGACGTGCGTACGTATCTTGCCGTCGAGGTACTCCACCACCTTCTTTTTCTCGTCAGGATTAGGATATCGCGCCCCTCTCATGTTCCAAGGCTCGTGTGGCACGGTGTGGATGCGGATCATAGGTATTTTGTCCACATCCAGCCTGCCACGCTCCTCGTCACTAAACGCATAGGCGCGATGCCTCCTCTTTATCAACTCCACCATCAATGTCCGCTCCTGAGGCAGCAGGAAGTCGGGTTCCCCTATAATCAACTTTCCCTCATTCCCTTCGTTGATACGACATGGTCCTGCTAGAGCACTCTCCTTCATTCATCGTATCAACCCTCGTTCCCTCTCATAGTACGCTTCCTCGTCTTCAGTAACGAGGACGGGCACCGGGCGACACTTCTTGTCTACCGTCTTGTACCGCCTTTGGGAACCCTGCTTGAGCCGTCCCCTAAAAAAGGCCGACTCACAGATTGCGCTTGCACTGACGCGGGGTTCCTGCTGCCGTCCGGAAGACGGTATACCAGCTCCAACCTCCCCGCCTCGGGGCATTCCAAGACCTGCTCCCTCAAGGCCTAGATGGCATCCGGATCTGCCATCTCATGCGCGGCCACCAAATCCATGGCCTTCCCGACGTCCGATAGGCTAAGGGAGAACGCCTCCACCCTTTCTCCTGCTTCGAGCTCTGCCCGGAGCCTCCGACGCTCACCTTCCGACTCTTCGATTGTGAACGATCCTGGATTGGGCCGGTTCCTTATACTCCTTGGCCCTGTGTTTCTGCAGGTAATTATTTCGTAATTCCCTCAGGCAGGGTCGCATAGGAGGATAATTAACGTCCCATCATGCTTATTGAATATCATAGTCTCCGTCCTACTCAGAAATGACCTCCCTAGGAGGATTCCGTGATCCACGTCTGACATGATGAAGAAACAAGCCCGGTCCTTCACCTTTCCAACGTCGATGAGTACATTCGAGGCTGTCCCGCAAAATACGGCCTTGCAGCTGGCTCCGTGCAGAATACCGCAGTCAGAACGGTTTATATCCAGCCCGAATCTGATTGCGTCCGCTTCCCGAATAATGTTCATCTCCGCCCCAGTGTCCACCATGGCTGCGCACTTGGAGCCCTTCACCACCAAATCCACCGTACCGCAGGCTACACACTTCCAGTCCATTTTCGTACCTGACTCCTCCACTCAGCCTCCTTGGGCAGGATCGTACCCAGATGGACATTGGGCACCCAGCGCCGCGACAACCTCCTTTTTAATTCATCGCGAAGCCGCGGGGCTGACGCCAGAATTTCCTTCAGGGTCATGAGGTCATTATGCCCTTCCAGCAACCGGTCGATCACTTTCTCTACGTCAAATCCCTCTTCCAACCGAACCGCGTACTTCTTCCTTTTGGGTGGTCCGTCACGTATGACCGACTCGGCCTCTCCCCTGGTCCCCTTTTTCCTTGCCCGCTGCTCCGCTCTCTGATCCTCTTCTCGGCGCAGCCTCTCGTCTTCTTCTTCTTCATCATCGTCGTCCTCCACTTCCACGTCCTCGGAGGCTCTTGGCTGGCACTGGCCTTGGCTTGATTCCTCGTTCGCGCTGCTTGTGCCAGCCGGGCCTGCGGGGTGAGGGGTCTCCCCATCACCCCCGACTGTGGGCTTGACCCTACCACATTTACTCCGGGTCGCCCAGGCGCTAACTCCGGGCCGGAGTCGTACAGGAACACCTTAGGGATGCTAGACTTCCATTCCCTCACCTCCTCACAGAGGGTCACCAACTTTTGTTGGTACCTTCCCACCTTGTCCAACAGGTCCTCCATCTTCCCTAATAAGATGGACGGAAGCTCCATCCCTCTTTCCTCGTCCTCGTCATCCGACTCGATGATTATAGGCTCTTCCCTCTTGCTTCCACCTCGTGGCCCTCGTCGCTCCTCACTTCCTCTACCCCAATCGGTGGTTCTTCCTTTTCCTGCCATAATCTGAATTCTCCTATCCCCACCGATGGTCCTTTCTTCTCCTGCCATAGTCTGAATGTGGCAGGAGGTAGCGGCCCGGCTGCCGCCCTCCGTTGAGATTCCGCCCTTACTCCCCCGAGCCTTCTGTCGATAAACTCCCGAAATTGATCATAAATGTTCCCGTCCATAGTGGAGGAAATCAGCCCGCTTTTCTCGTTCTCCCGCCTTATGTTACAGAACCTTATAGTGTGGCCTTGTTGGTCACAATGTTGGCAGATGGTCGACCTCCAATCAAAGCGGGGCCTTCCATATCCCTGACTTCCCTGATCCCCGTGGCCTTGATACCCCTGGCCTGGGTACCCTTGGCCTTGGTTTCCTCAGCCTTCACTATTCCATTGCCCTCCTCTTCCGGCGCCATTCCTGCCTCGCCCCCTTCCTCCACCCCTCCCTCTGTTGCCTTGATTGCCCTGCCCCTGGTTCCCACCTCCAGCCATGCTTCCCTGTGAACTGGGAGCAGGTGACGGCGGCGGGGCCACAGGCTGGGCCTGGGCTGCGGGGTAGATGGGTGGCGGCATACTCATTTGTGGTCCGGTTACTAGCGGCGCGCTACCCCATGACACAATTGCATTGATCACCGGCCATGGCCACTGTCCGTAGGAAGGTGCCCCTCCTTGCGAGGGGTCCGCACTAGACGAGGGTGCCGCCACACTTGGAGGAGCCGCCGCCACCGCCTGAGGCGCCTGCGCTTTTCCTGATCCTTGTTCGCCCTTCGCCAAGTTACGCACTTTGCGTTGGGCCTTCATCAGGCGTTGCGGCACCGACTCTTCCTCTTCCCAGAGCTCCTCCTAAACAGCCTCCTCTATCACCGGCTCCGTTCCTTTCACTTGGACAGCCGTTACTACCCTCCTTTGCACCACCGGCTCTGTCGCATACCCCAGCTGTGCCAATACGTCTGTAACAATCCTTGTTACCCCCGGGGTCCCAGAAGCGGTCGCATCTCTTTCCTTTCTCTTTTGCCTTTGTAGGCGTACCTGACGTTGCTCCACTGAGTCCACACCCAACTTCCACCCCTCTGTCAATAGTGGCCCAGGTGAGCTTGGTGCTACCTCCTCCATGCCTCGTCAACTCGACGGCCTCCGATGTCGTGAGTAGCCCCAGGAAGATGGCGCACTGTGCTTCCTCCGAAATCCCATGGACCTTCCGCGCCCTCTTCTTAAATTCTTCAACAAAAGCCCCTATCGTCGTAAAATCCTCTTTGTTCATTGCCTCGAGGTCCGCAGTGGTCAACAGTCCATCTCCCAGGCGGTACTTCCTCTGCATTCCCTCCTTGAATYTTTCCCAGCTACCTTGGGCTGCATCTATAACTTTCTTCACTTCTTGGTGGTAGCTGTGGAGAACGTACTGGAGAATGCGCTGAAATTTTACAACATCCGACCGCCCGACCAG